TAAAAATATTTTAATTGTTTTATCATAGACAATAACAAAATGGTATAATTTTTTATTTACTAACACTGTTATAAAAAATTATATAGTTTTATCAAATCAAAAAGATAAAATTACCAAAAAAAAAAGAAACTAAAAACGTAATTAATGAACGAAAAAAGAAAAATAAACTGAAAAGACTAAAATACCCCTAAGTTAATGGAGGAGTTTTAACATATATAGTTTCAGCGACGAAAACAGTAATAAATTACAAACTATAGAGATAAAAATCACAATTTTAAAACCACTGGTACAAAATCACAATCTTTCTCAAACCATTATGAAAATATTTTTATGAGCCAGACAATGACTAATTGTGGATGTCATACATCTGATGCAAACAAAAAGTACTGTCACATCCTTCTAAAAAATTCATATAGGACGTTGGCAAATTCAAAGGCCAGAAGAGAGATAGTGCATCAAGTTGTCTGTTAAGGAGATTGTTTCTTCAATAAGAGAACACGAAAGCGTATGAATCATATATACCCCTCTATATGTAAAGAGTCTCGGGTTTGTACGAGAACAATGCTTAAATAAGAGAATATGAAAGCGTCCGAATCACATATAATTTTACACTAAAATCATGTGTAAAATCACATGTGGTTCACCCGACTTTGACTGCGATCTAAGATCGTTAACTGTCCTTTGTGATTAACGAAGAATACTGATTTTTATTGATATTTAATGATAATATTATAACTTTTTATCTTCAAATAGACAAAAAAATAAAATAAAAAAATAAGAAGGCCCCTTCCACATCATTATCGCACTGCGTCGTATCAGCATACACATATGCCATCACTCTCCAACTGCCTATATAACCATTCCATCTCTACTCTTCAACATCCCCCCCTCCACAAATCGCCATTGAAGCTTCTTCATTCGCTCTGTTATTGATTTTGATCTCCATTCTTGAAAGTTCTCGTTAGACAATCAAATTTGCCACATATGGGTCACTCCGATATGGTTCTTAGATTTCTTCTGTTCTTCGTTTTCAAAGGTAAATCAATGCCTCTATGTATACAAACGCTATTTAGGGATTTAACTACGGATTGGAGCTCATTTGGCTCCAAATTTGAACCAATTTTGCTCAGATTTTGGTGTGGATTCAAATTTCCGAGCATGTCATCAGGGTTGTCCCTTAGCATGTTAAATGTGAGATTTTGAACAGGGGCCCAAATTTACATGTGTTTAGGGTCTTTTTATCGACCTGTGTAAAACTATAGTCGAAATTATTTATGTTCAAACCATTAATTATTTGATTTTAGGTTCAAATCATTAATGCTTTAGGTTTAGTTTCAGATTGTTAATCGTTTTAGGTTTAGCTCATTTTTGGTCTTTAACATATATTCTCTGTTATCTCATTTATGTAATGTAATCAAAAGTTTTGGATGTAGCAGGGCCTCCAAAAAGATTGGAACGTCCCTGCATGTCATTACTGTTTTTACCATCAAATTTGGTTGAATCGAATTCGATCGGTACCTTATGCATTGCGAATTGCATGTTATTGCAGGAGTTTTGGGGACTACTTTTACGTTTTTGAATAAGTGTGATTACACAGTCTGGCCAGGGCTATTAGGCACACCTGCTCTCGAGACGACTGGATTCGAGCTATCCAAAGGTAAATCACGTTCATTACAAGCTCCGGCGGGGTGGTCCGGTCGGTTCTGGGGGAGAACCGGCTGCAATTTTGACGGGTTGGGTCACGGGTCATGCGCCACAGGGGACTGTGGCTCGGGACAAATGGAATGCAATGGTGCCGGAGCCGCACCACCCGCCACCCTGGCGGAGTTCACCCTTGGATCGGTGGGTACCCAGGATTTCTACGACGTCAGCCTTGTTGATGGGTACAATATCCAGATGATTGTGGTGGTGAGTGGCGGTTCCGGTGATTGTGCGACTACGGGTTGCGTCGATGACTTGAACCGGCGGTGTCCGAGCGAGTTGAAGGTGGGTGGTGGCGGAGGGTGTAAGAGCGCCTGTGACACGTTTGGGACGCCGGAGTACTGCTGTAAGGGTGCCTTTGATTCGCCTGCAGCTTGTCGGCCGACGGCATACTCGGAGCTTTTTAAGTCGGCATGTCCAAAATCGTATAGTTACGCGTACGACGATGCAACCAGTACGTTCACGTGTACGGCTGCTGCTCAATACGCCGTCGTATTTTGTCCCTCGCTACACTGGTATGCAATTTAAATTTAAATTTAAATCGTCAAAGCATCAACTTGATTTTTATATTTATTAATTAAATAAATAAATAATTATAAATCCAATATTGTGTTATTTTATTTCGTATCAAGCGTAAATAATGAATTTATTGAACGTTTTTGTTACAGGTCGATCGGTGATAGCTTAAGAAATGTAAAACCAAAAGTGGGTAACGAAACCGAAGGATCGTTGGATGCATTGTTGGAGTTGTACGCTCATCTTGCTTCAGATGCAGGGGATTCAAGTCCTCTGTTATTTAATTTCATTAGATTCATGATTTCTGTAATACTATTTATTTTAATCTTGTAACGTAATTCTTTATAACCAAATTCAATGTATAAATCATCACATTTTAGAATATGTGAGCGGGTTTTTTTTTTGATTAATCTGGATATCCAACCCGCTATGCGAGCCGACTAATCCCAAGGCGACCACCTGCTTTGCAGATATCCCGGAGTTACCGCATTTGAACTTTCATGGCCACAAGGGGATTTTTATTTCGTCTTGGATTTGAACCTGAGACTTCTTAATACTTTTAACCTTTGAGACCTCTTAATACTTTTAACCTTTAAAGTCAAGCTCAAACCAATCAGACACCATCATTTATTTCTTCTTTCACAAAAAAATGCCTTGAAAAAACATTCAAATATTGCTAATTTGACACACGTGTTAATCTTAGGCACAAGCCGCACAAAGCGAAGTTGGTGCCCTTCATGGGTATATCTTTGCGATTCACATCACATCACATCACGTTGTAATCTTTTTTTATGGTTTATGATCTGAATTTAAATCCGAATTCTATATAGAAGGATAACTGTATGCATCCTTTTTAATATCAGAATTAAATCAAATCATGTTTTAAAAATATAAAAGTAAACTTTGATGTTAATGTTGATGTGTGAGAAGAAAATTACTAGGCAGAAGTATGATGGCGGGTGATGCTTTTTACACCTTTTTAATCTATACTATCTTATAAACCAGATTTATCAAAAGTTTTAAAAATAATTTTTGATGCACAAAGTCTTAAAAGTCTTAAAAACAACGCAAAATACATTGAGTACTACTACTTTATGCATTTAGTCTTAAAATCAATTAATCTATAATTAAAATAATATATAGTACAAGTTATCAATGAATATTATTACTTTTTCTTTTCATGTTACCAAAATACTTTTGACACCTTTCAGTCATGTCTTCATCCTCTCATATCTCTATGTCTTCTCCCCATCCCCCAATGTGATATTCAAATTGATATTCACCATAAGTTATTAAAAGTTATCTCATTCATCTCACATCGAACTCCCATTCAATTGCTCTATAACTCTCGATCTCTTGATTCTTTTGTTCTTGGTGTGAATCGAATACATTTGTGGAGTCGTTTAAATATGTTGGATTTTAAATATATTGGATTTTAAATTGTCATACAATTTTTTCATCTGTAATTGGAACCATGACTCTTATTTATTCAAATTGTATTAATATATAAATACCAAATGTAACTTATATCGTCGTTAAATCTTCTATAATAAAACCAGTGAAACTTCAAAATCGTTAAAATTCACAGCTTCCGTCAATGGATACACAACTAGTATCATAATAAAATCAAATCATGCATCAAAAATGTAAAAAGTAAGTTTTGATATTAATTATGGACAGTCATGTCAAACCCTATCGATCTTGACGTCATTTGCTTTTGTGATTGAAAAATAAAGGACCCACATGATCAAAATATTAAATAACAAGAATAAATAATCATCCATAGTATAAATGCAAACAAAATGTCCAAATAAATGTAATGTCTGATTTTGTATTTTATATATAGAGAGAGAATTAGATTTGAACAAAAATAGTGATTAAATAAATAACATGAGGACGGCTAAATCATATTCATGTGTAAGCATTTAATTAAATGCGACCGTGATCTCGAGCCAAGTCATCCGCACACCTTTCATATTAACCGTGTTTTATAATGGTATGTAATTTCAATATGAAATCACATACGTTTTAACGGTTTTAATATTATCTTATTCGAGGTGTTTGTAATCCGGTGTTGGACGCTTTAAGCTTTCAAACCACAAATTAAACAACAATGGTTACAAAAATTTCTAAACCAAAGCGGTTTGGCAGCAACTAACCATAACTGATCAAACCGAACTACAAAAATATCGTTTGGTCTAATCGATTTGCGCCTATTATGAGCTTTAAACTAAAAAACACAACATATATCTTCAAATGAAATTTTCCCACAACACCATTGAAAACTGCATAGCAAGGGATATAAACAACAATTTGGTTCTCAGTTTTAGTTTTGCCATTGAAACATTTATCGAACTACGTTAATATCCCACTTAAGGGGTTGGGTCGGAAGGTAAAATATACACGAACCTGATATCTACTCCAAAAATAGAGCAGTGAAGACCTCCGACACACCTAAAAGTGAAAGAGGGTAAATGCTTATCTTTGTGAGACTGTCAACAGAAACATCCTCATCTTCCACTGGAACCACATCCAATGAGTTGTTGCCTCTTTTGGGGCTGCAAAATATGGTTTCAGGGGCCCCTTCCTCTTCAACATGCCTTTAAATAACAAGAACTTTGTGGAATTACATAGAAAAAGTGCTGAAAATGACGAAGAAAGTCGAGATAAGCTAAACAAACAAAAGAAAAAGAGGGATGAAGAAAAGCATGGTGATGAGTGCATATCTCCATGTATTAATTTTATCATCCATCTAATCTCTCCCTCTGAAATATCCTGATTGTAACTTTAGCTTCCAAAAAAGCCTCATCCAGTCAATCATAAGATCACACTCATGATCAACCAGATTTAGCATGATGCATGCATACACCCTCGTTAAATCCCTGAGTCAACAGATAATGTTGTTGACTTGGCAAATTCATTAATGATACATCCATCATATGCTTGAAAAAGAAAAAGAAACCGACATGAGGTGATGCTCGTATCCATAGCTATCGTGACACATCTATATTGTAAAACCATAGAACTCGGTATATCCCACCTGAAGGTGGGGTTTAAGGAAGATAAGATGTACACAGACCTAATCTTTACCCCAAAAATTAGAGCGGTTTTTTTCTAGTGAAGACCCCCAGATTGTGAAACGTGTGACAGAGAGTCGGATATGATAAGGGTTTGAAAAGCAGGTTAATAGTAAGCAATAACATACAAACAGAAGCAAGTACAGGACAAGCATAACAATTTATGGAAACTACATGCCCCTAGTCTAACTTACTTTCTTTTTTTTTCCTTCCCCAGCTTGAAGTTTATCCCTATCTCCCACCGTCTACCTTTCCTGCTCCCTGCCTCCTGTCTACTCTAGCTACAGATCCCCATCCCTAGTCCTGCGTCTCCAAGATCACCTATCAGAGGTCATGTAGAGATTTGAGACCTTTCGGCCCTCATATAGTCAAAGGAGGTGAAGTTTGTAAAGTTTCGTGCAAAAAGAGACATGGTGAAAAAGGTGAACATTTGTGCAAGAGTGATCAAAATGTCAAAATTTGTTTACCTCCTAGCCATCGGATGGTGCTTGTGTGTGCTCTCCAAGAAACACGAATGTCTCCTTGGTGCTTGTTACAGATCCACACGGACTGTCGGCCCTCTACACTTATTTATCTGTTGGAACTTGTTGAGGGTCACCACTACAACATAATCGGCTTTATAGGATGTCAAATATGTCTAAATGTCTTAATAGACTGTTTTATAGGACCTAAGCTTATGAGACTACACAATTGTGCTTCTATATAAAGGTGTTACAATAAGTTGACAAGACCCTTTTGGGCATCTTAACAAGTTTTATGTACACTTTCTGAAATAAAATGTCGTATTAGCTTTTTATAGGACACTTTTCTTTAAGACACTTTTTAGAATAATGTCATATAAAAAAACTAATAGAACGCTTTATTTCAAAAGTGACCTAGAAAACTTGTTAGGACATCTAAGAGCATCGTATGAACTTATTGCAACACATTTACATAAAACGCATAATCGTTTGGTCTCATAAGCTTAAATCCCATAAAACAGTCTATTAGGACATTTAGACATATTTAACATCCTATAAAGACGATTTTGTTGTAGTGCACATTGGTTTATTTATAGCCCTCCATGGAAGCATGTCATCCAACAGTTGTCTCCTCCCTGCACGGATGTACCTTCCTCTACTTGAATCATTGATTAAGTGACCCTCGTCTGGACCATACACTACAACTCCATAAACAAACGGGTCTACAATTATTAGACCTTCTTCCATCTCGTTTCATCTCAATCATATCATTTTCCTGCATTTCGGATGGCTTACAACTTCATGTTCTTTAACTAACCTCTTTCTTGCTTCCATTAGCTGACCTTCGATTGTTTCGACTCCTTTCTTACTTTCTTTGAATTTTTAACTCCTTCAGATTCTTTAGTTAGCATTTATGCTTAGAGTTTGCTTGACATTAAAACCATATAGGACTGTTCATTCCCCCTCCCTTTAGAATCTGTTGTCATAGACAACATAGTCCAGTGTTTTGATCTAGCTTTATTACTTTTATGTTTTCAACCTAAAATTGGCTCAACTACATAGCCTAATATCATATATAACGATCACATAAGTTCGCTTACAGGTGCTATGTTCTCTTTATCCTGCACCTCGAGCTTATCCATTTACTTGCCTTTTTTGGGACTGAACAAACTTTTCTTCTTCAACAAGCATTTATAGTATGAGCAAGGCCTTCATGGAGTCATATAGAGAAAGTACTGCAAAATGACAAAGAAAGTCGAGATGAATTATTTAAAAAACATCATAATCGATAAAAGGTTGCAAAAAAGCATGGTGATGAGTGCACAGCAAGCATGTGCATATCTCCATGCATTAAGAATTATATAATCACTCCCTCACCCACATAAAGTATCCTCTTTTGAATTTGGAAGTCAAACAAACTATTTTCAACTTTAAACATTAGTTTAAATATGCCACTTGATTATAATCACATGAAACTGTATCAAACCACTATAAATTAAGAAACAAGGTGATAACATTAAGAAAGCAAGAAAAAAGCATATTCATTTTAAATTCAAGAAACACTTGGGTTCACATACACAAATGAAACAGATGAAGTGGTTTTTGTCAACTAGCAAGAACATTGATATCTAGATATTATAAACATTACTTTGCATTAACCCATTGAGGACCAGCTCTACATACACATAAAGGTTAGGCCTTGGGCAACTCTGTGTAGGTCACCAGTTTGAGTCTCCTTCGAGCCACTGGGGATTTTCCTGGCTGTTATGTTCAGGGCCACATGAGATTAGTTGAGGTGCGTGCAAGATAGCCTAGACACCCACGGTTACAAAGAAACACGAGTTCAAAAGAGGATGTATGTGAATCCATGATCCATCAAATTCAAAACACTACATGCACACCATCCATAAGGGTTCCCCAGGGTAGAAATGGAACTCCAGTTGATTTAAAATAATGGTAAAAGAACATAAAAGTTTTGTCTACGTTACTCGTCACTTGCAACAATGGTATCTGATACAGAAGCAAATAGTTGTGGTCCAGCTTTGGTGAATAAGCCCAATGTGTGGAGAGTTTATTCCAGAAGGGCCAAGACCCAATAGAAATAGAAAGTTAGTTGAGCTTTTGGTTGTTTAAATAAGTGGTGCCTTCCTGACATGAGGGGCATTCAGAGAATAAGAATTCTGTTAGGCTCTACGTTTGTTAGAGAAGGGAGTTATTCCCTGGAATTCCTCTAGAGAATTGAAGTCTGTAAGTTTCTTCTTTCATCTGTAGTTCATTTCTTTTCTAATTTCAATCAACCGGTTACGAATCCTTTGATTTCGTAACAGTATCAAAGCCTTTGAATATGTCTGAAATCTCTTTGAATAGTCTTTGAATTGGCTTCTTCAAGAAAACGATAAACTACATCAATTAAATTTGGATGGGAAGTAACTGTCTACAACTTGATCATCTGAAGAGAAACTGTGAAGCATTTCATCGATCAATGGGAAACAAGGCATCAGTTCATCCTTTTTCTTTGTATGATCCAGGAACAAGCACCAGCAACCTGATAATATGGAAACTCCATCACGGCTAAAATCATCTCTTGCATCACTGTGTGAATAAAGTCAATGAACCTGACTTTGTATATCTTGTATTTCGGCACTTCCACACCCATATCCAACTTGAATGTGTTCAAATTGGAATCACAAATCTTTATCCCAAAAATATGGAGTCACAACTCACAAATATTCCCATCAGTTGTAGAAATTGACTACCCACAAAGAACGTGGGGACCACTAACGGGACTGTAAGAGGCTTATGTGCTAGAAACACATTTTTTTAACATTGTATGTAATTTTCACAACCAAAGTAATCAACAATTGCCATGCTTGCAAAGCTCGGCAAAGTACTGAACATTTAGTAACATTATATGATAAAGTACAGCATTATCTGTCAAGTAGTTCTACCACAGAACTGTCTATATATCCATTTTGGACACACTGTGACATAGAAGTCAATAGAGCCTACAAAAGCACAAATTTTGATCATTTTTTATAATGTGCCAACCATCTATATTCCAACAGGCTCAAATAGGCCAAGTGAGATGAAATTCTATCGAAACAAAAACCCATGACCAGATAGTGCAATCTCAAATGCTTCCATCCTTGCTCCTCGGGAGAAACCATTACGATCATAAGACGATATTTCATCAATTCCCAGATTAGTACAGGTTTTAACAAGCTCTTCACCAACACGTTGCGCTGCTTCCTACATATTTTCAAATGTTGTCAAAGCCAAACTAGTAAAGCAAATGTAATATTGTTGATGTTCAGTGAATTTAAAAACAGGAATACTTTTGGTTGATATACCCTTACTTGGTATGGAAGTACTTACAATAGTGGTACCAGGGATTGAACGAATTGATTGCTGCAGGGTGCTGCCATAAAACAAGCACTTTTTGTTCTGATCATCAACAAGCATTGCATACAATTGTTTTTCTGAACAGAATACCGAAAGCCTTGGTTTCTTCTGTGTGCCATTGTACTATTCAACCAAACACAAATACAGTGTCATGTGAATTGGATGAAATTAAAAACATGCATTGCTTTTATATAAAATATTTCCAAGATCAAAGCTGATGAAAGTTAAGTTTTTACCCTTTTAGAATACCTTGGAAAAATAAGAAAACACATCAATCAATACAAGAAAAAAATGCCTTTTTTTCTAGTTTCAATATGAAAGACTATATTACCTTTTTCTGCAATCTTCTGTTCCTAACTTTTGGACTTTCTACTCTGGTTCTAGCTCTTGCTTCAATCGACCACGGCCTTATATGAACAACTAGAGAAAATCAATAGAATTAGTAACCAAATTCGGAACTGTCACGTCAAAGCTGTTACCGAACATATGTAGAAATCAAATCTAGTCTCATTTCAAGATATAATTTCATTTAGAAGTGCACTTCACTTACTTACTTGTACTCTGAACTGGGAGGAAATTTAAAGAACCATTGCCAAAGAGATCACAGGTCTTGAATTGTAGATTCCCAGTGAATGCCCGAAGCGCCATATCCTTAATTGCTTATTAAAGATAATCCCTTTACTACCCAGACTACTTGATAAGATCAATCGCTACGAATACCACCTGCAAAATTTAAGGAAACTAGATACTATGAGCTCAACAATCCTAACATATTCATTGGGGCATTTCGTCGAACAGGTTCTGGGATATACGTTATTCTACCATGATTTATCTCAAATGATGAAACTTTACCTTGATGGTAATCGTTCAATAAGTCCTTTTTGCGCTTTGCCTGTTGTTTAACGAAATTATGGAATAAAAAATTGGTGGGTGTGTTGCCAGTCAAGCTTACCTGTGGGGTTATGAACAGAACCCTTTTCAAATAATCAAATATGCTAATCGACTTTGAAGTGCACAAACGAGGTCGCAAATTGCAAACCGCTTCGTTTTCTTCCTGTTATTCAACCTATATAGGTCGCTGATCTGTATTGATGGCTTTTAACCTTGGGCTGTCGGGTTGGGTTCAACTTAAAAAGCTTGGTTTCAACTTATTTATTTAACAAGTTGAAAATCTTAAATCAATCCAATTAATTTAATTAAATGAGTTGAGATTTTTTAACTCAACCTAACATGTTATTTAAATAGGTTGACAGGGGTTGATCTGTTTATAATTTTCTTAATTTAACTTGTTAAATAAATAGGTTGAACCTGGGTTGATCCATTTAATTTTAAAATTTGAAATAAAAAAAGATTAGACTATTTAATTTTTTTGAATAAAACACAACACAACCACAAATACAAACAAATTGTTTAAAATTTGAATAAAACACAATCACAACAAATATATTGTTCAAAATAAATTGAAAATTTTTAAATAATAAGTAACTCGACTTCCACTTTCACCAATCCTAAAGTTTGGAGACGATAATGGAGCAATGGACTAAAGAGTTTTTTTAGGGTTTCATGATGATTAAGAGTAATGAAGGCGATTCAAATTTGAACTTTCATCTAATGACGATAGAAATTTTAATTATTAATAAAACAAAATTAAAAAAAATAGAATACTATATATAATATTAAGAATAAAATAAAATTATATAGTATGTTAAATAGGTTGGAATTTGGATATAGGTTGAAAACGGGTTGTAAACAGATTGAAAGCAGGTCGAAAAATTCAACCCAACCCATTTATTTAAATGGGTTAGGTGGGTTGACCCATTTRTTTAAATGAGTTGAAAATCTCAACCCAACCTGTTAATTATGTATTGGGTTCGAATTGGATTAACGGGTTGGGTCATTTTTTGCCACCCCTATTTTTAATACGTTATTGGGTTTAGGAGAAGTACCAAGTTCACCGCTATTATTATTTGGTATTGATTATTGTAACAGATAACAAAGATTTGGTAAATTTTAACCCGATTGGATTGATTTGTTAACATATTGTCCTTTTTTACTATAAATATAAAAATAGTTACTGAGAATCCTTTAAATGAGGGATATTTTAAGTATTTTATTAAGAGAAATTGTTCATTAGGTTGGTACCCAATTTGTTTGAGCTTGAGCTCCAAAGATCAAAAATACCTAGAGGTCTCAGGTTCAAATTCAAAAAGAAATAAAAGTCCCCTTTTGACGACGAAAACCTCATAGATAGTTGTCTTGAGATTAGTTGACTGACATAACAGGTTGAATATCCATGTTAATAAAAAAAAATGTGTATAATATATAAAACAAAAAAAAACATGTTTTTACCTTTTGTGTTGCATGTCTCATGCACACATTACAAGACTTGCATTGTCTATGCTAATTTCAAATACTAAAATGTTAAAAAAAGATACATTCTAAATAGAAACAAAATTTGATAGACCAAACTGCATATTAGGTGACAGTCAAGGGACGAAATTTGCAATTTACGAAAAGAACTAGAAATCTGTATTCATTTTCCTACATTCTACAATCCAACACTTGTCCTCTTCCATGTTGAATGATGATCAGATCAGCTCACCTCACCGTTCCTTTCCTCAAGCCATTGAAGATTCAACTGACCGACCGCAGTATCTTCAGGTTCAATAGAATTTAGACGATGGCGTGAACTTGTGATACAACCATCAACTTCATATATAGTCTCTTTGTCTTTCAACCTCTCATACCGTTTCCAACCCGATCTTTATATTCCATTCAGCATGAAGAAGAATGGAAAATTGATCATGTTGCTACTTTTGTGAACTTGGCAACAAAAAGGCCACTGGTTCTACAAGTTAATGGATCAAACCGCAAAGTCTTTGGTATCCGTCCACTCTTGCAGGGCCAAGATTTGGAACCATCTATCTCCAACAACTCTGCAAACCCAAAAGTAGGAATAACGGAGAGGTACATAAGATGAAATAAACATGTAGGACAGAAGAAAAACTACGCGTGTCATACAGTAAAAGCAGAAAAAACTAAGACTGTAAAAGCGGGGAAGAATAAAGCCAGCATACAGTAAAAGGTCCCACAAGGTCACATGCATATAACCACCAACACAATATGATTAATCTGTCATTGATAAAGATGACTTTGTTGCAAATGATCCACAATTAGCGAAAGCTATGGATCATCATCCACGACTTCTAACTTACAAAAATGCATATGCAACATACATATCAAGGACACTAGTGCCTTAAACAATGAGTCGACCTAAATATGTAAATCATGAATCCAAAGCAGCCAAGGGAATTACCAGCAGATGCATTTAGGGAAAGAAATTTCTCAACCACATCCTCATTCTGCGCATAAGTTAAACTATTCCATAAGATAAGTACAAGAATGTTAGATAGCATTCAGTCAAACCAAAGTAAGATATCAATAATTGGAATGGCAGCAGCATAGCATACCTGCAAGTGCTGTAAACAAGGTACCCTCCAACTTTTAGTAACTTGAAACCATTGGTCAATAGTCGAAACTGCATCAAGACCAACATCCCGATAAAACTCAACACGAATATGGAATGCTGCATGTCTTTTAAGATGAGACAAATTTCCGTATAAAAAAAGCTTAGATTACTATGATCATCAGTCGAACCTGAAGAACAGTCAAATCATCGGTTCTCTCTGCATCCAAGACCCGTCGCTCTAGAGTTGTCCATCCCCAGTTTTCAAACTTCTGGATGTGTTTAATTGAACCATCGTGTGTGCACTCTGCATCCACAAGTACCTGATTTTTGAGTTTCAAAACCCAACTTTAGCTTGAGCCAAATGGAAAAACTTGGTGGAAAAGAACCCATACCTTATCATAACCATGTTGTGAAATATCATGGCTTGAAACAGTTTGAAACAATTCACTTTTACTCAGTCCAACAACCCCAGCACACCGTCCATAATATATCAGCTCCGGATCTTGATTGTGTAGAACAGGTTGCAAAGAACCTTTTTCTCTTCCTTTTTGTGTCTTTTTTCTTTCCTTCCATGGCCTCCTAGAGCTCCACTCCTTGTACAAAAGATCATCTCCTTCCATATTAAATTCCCTGTTGTTCACTACAAGAATGAAAACATAAACAGGGAGAAGACCACGTAATTTGACCTTTGATAACAACACGTTATCTAAATATTTCAAAATTATGACCAAGAATTCTTACAAGATTTAAAATCAGAATGAACCCGGATAGGGCTGAGAGAAAATGAAGCTCCATCAGCAACAAAAAGACGACAGTGATCACCAAGTTCATATTTCTGGAGCAACGTTCTACAAGCAGCTAATCGATGTCTTGCCACATCCACACCAGTTACAGAACCCGAGTTTCCAAGAAGTTCTAGTACCATGCAAAGTTTAGCACCTGGGGACGGAAATAAACAAATTAGATAGCAACAATGTAATAAAGACACAAATACAACTCAAACGCCATAATCGACCATATATTTACCTGGGGCAGCACAAAGATCAAGGACATGATCTCCCGTTGAGATATTCAAAGCTGAAACTGCAGCTCCAGATGCTGCATCAATTCCATATATCTGAATACCAAACCGAAATATATATCACACATGAGCTATCTTACAAAATGCAGTTGGAAATGATACATGAACTTTGTGATGTGGGATTAAGTAAAAGTTGGCACAAGCTGCTCAAAACAATCATCAAAGATATAATTTTGAATTTAGTCTTCATATAGATTTCAGGATCTTGATCTCCAAGGAAACAACAAGTGTAAAATATCAACGTATTGGGATTAGAGTGGTTTCAGAAAGTAAAAAGTGAAATATTAAGAGGATCAAGGTTCTAAATACGTGAGGTGTAGTGTAGCGTGGCGACAAGGTCAAGCCTCAAGCCTTATGAGTTACGGTGAGGCCACATCGTTTTTCAAAGCATGCCATATGGCGGCATATATAGAGCCCTAATCAAATTTGGGCTCTTTTTAATCCAATTTCAATGAAGTTGTACTTGTACTAAGATTCAAAATATGTATTTGTAAACAAATAAGAAATTCAAGAACGTCATTTACATAGACTAAAGAGGGCCTCAAGATGTGTGCTAAAGCCTAAATAGTTTACATTTTTTGGATATTTATGGCAAACTAATTAAACTCGTCCTTGTACTAACTAGTGAAAATGATTTGAAAGATCACCTTTCCTTCCTGATATGCCTTTGAGCTAGCAATCTGAATGTGGGGTGGTAAAGAATAAAAATTGGGTAACCATTCGACTTTCTCAAGCTTACATCTGATGTCAGCTTCAATTGCTTCGAGCTGCTCCTCACATCCAGGCTTTAATCTTTCAAATACCAGAAAACATAGATAGGCACATAAGAGTGCAAAAATTACATGTAACAAGAACCTACCTTTGACTATTGATTGAGAATCAATCCTACTTCTTTGCAAGTTTGAATTTGATATAAACCCTCTACAATTCTACCAATGAAACATCTCCATTTATAATACTCCTTTGATCCCATGAAGATAGCTATGTTTGACTTAATATGTAGTTTAATAAAATGCAACTAAAAATTGTAGAATCTCAGCAATTTTTTCATAGAATGAAAGGATACTTGTTATTAGTCAAAACTCTTAATCTTACAAGCAGCACAAAACAAGTGGTCAAATTGAACTTCTTCGAAATTGAATTACTCAATTTCAATTTTAACAAACTTAGATCAAAATTCATTAAGGAACTTTCAGGCTCATATTTAGCATAACAAAAACTAACAGCGGCAATAGGAAAGGGGGTACGGGAAGGTACCTAATATAACGAGGGGTAAAATCACCGGCGGTATATATAGCAGGGTCGATTCCATTCTGGTTGAGAAATTGAAGAAATGCATCCGGCAATGGGAGGTTTGAGGTTGCTTCAGCGCCCTTGGAACTATCTGAACATCACCATATTGTTCTGAAAACTAAGATTCACATATGTTAATTTCCATTATGAGTAGATTGAAGGCTTACCGTGGTGTAATTGGACGATAACTGGTTCTGATTCCATGGGAGATCAACTGTCAACGAGGAGCAGCGCAGTTAACCCTAAATTGGAGCACCAGCGGAAAAACAACGATGGATTGCTTTGTAAAAAAAAACTTTATTTTTTAATTAAAATGGCCATTTTCTCGCACAAAATCATTAAGAATTGCCTATTTAAATTTTTTAAGTGTTTATCAATTCATATGTTAAATTGAAGTTTTATAAGACGTGTATAGATTACTTATGCCAGTATCAAAACATAATAAGTTGATAAGTATTTTTTTTTCAACGAAAAAACTAAAAACTTCACACCAAAATAAGTTAGTAAGTTAGAAGAAAGTAACTAATCAAAAGTTTCTTACTACCAGTGCCAAAACGGTATAAATATTTCTTTTTTTTTTACATTCAAACACTAAAAACTCTTTATTACTGGTACCATACTAGAATAAATTCATAAGCATTTTAAATAAGCAATCTCAAACATCCCATAAAATGTCACTAGGTTCACAAATGATAGGTCTGTAATTTATCGAGGGGTTAAAGTGTAAAAAAAAGTTTATGAACCAAGTTTGTAACTGCAGGGACCAAATCTATAAATTTGTCTCTAACACCTATGTAAATTGTTCACTTGGACTTGCATAATACACCTAGAACCACACTTGTAACCCAAGTTAATTCGCAAGGTTTTTTAAATCCACCTGTGAGATATACACGAAATACATATAGGATCATCATTAGGACCATCATACTTGCCGACCATCGATGAACTGATCGGATTAACAGCCGCGATAGTGGATAAGGTACATGTGAATAGATGGCAGATCAGTCGCGATAGTTGGCAGGGTACATGTGTTAAATGGCGGAACAACCGTGATAGTTGACAGAATACCTGGGAATAGATGGAGGGCCAGCCACGATAGTGGATAAGGTACATGTGAATAGATGGCAGACCAGTCGCGATAGTTGGCAGGGAACATGTGTTAAATGGCGGAACAATCGCGATAGTTGACAGAATACCTGCGAATAAATGGAGGGCCAGCCACGATAGTTGTCAGGATGTCTATGTTAAATGACGGGGTAGCCCTGATGATAGGCAGGTTTATCCACGATAAGTGGCAGGACAATTGTATCAGTTTTAACGGTTAACCTTTGGATTGAATTTTACCATTATTAATTCTATAATTGTGTAAAATGTTTATATATATATATATCCAAAACAACTTGTAAACTAAAAGGTCGCTATGTAATTGTTCTACACTCGAAAGTCGAAGCTATGTCTTTATGTGATTTGTATAAAAAAAGTGTTTTTCTAATATAAATGAAAATCACTTTGACGAGTAACATTTCAAATGTTTAACGTAAAATAAACATTTAATACATTCATCTTATATGCCACTTGGTTGATTTCGATAGGTCAATGAAAAAAACGTGCAATAAAGGTTCAAAATTTGAATACCTACATGACCAGCAAAAATCTATTATTATATGATGTATCTGTAAACATCATATCAAAGATAAAGATATACATAAGTATCTTTATAACGTTCATAATTATGAATTACAATTTATAAACTTAAAACCTAATTTAAAATTGTTTCTAAGCATAAATATTTGTGCTCTTTATCGTAAAACAAAGCCGTTGTATAAACTACAATGCATGAGTACACATTTTTCCTCTTTGAATAAATCACAGCACACACCCAGTATGTATCACTTGCAATTATATGTATATCAACTGAATAATACAAATGAATTGAATATCAAATTGTACAAGTGTTATGGGTATTTGAAATCCTTCAAAATTGTGATGAAATATCAAAAGAATTTTGTGAAAGAGAACTGAATAGCAATGGCGTTTGAGGTGTTGAACAAAGTTCTTTGTTTATACTTCAAGAAAAACTTGTTTTGAGAAGTTGTGGATGTGCAAATCCACCTGCCTACTAACATCTTAAATTTGTCTTTGTATAGGCTTGTTAGTTGAACAGTGCAGTTGTCGATTATGCACAATTTTTTTTGGAATTCATTTAAAAAATATAAAAAAGATTTGTGTTATATATATATATATATATATATATATATATATACACTATATTATAAAATATTTGACAAAAACTCTTAAAACCCATTTTTTTATGCATAAAGTACTGTATATTTATTCATTAAAATTCAAGATTACAAGTAAATCGTGCATAAGTACAATTTATTAAAGCTTCATGTTTGAATTCGTGTAACTAACTACAAATAAACATAATCTAATATAGAATAAACATATTATATAAAAAATTATATTATTTAACCAAAAATAAAAAATACAGAAAAAACGAGAAATTCTAAATAGTTAATTTGGTACTAATATCAATATTTTTTTTTCATTTTTTATGATATTTTCATATTTGTATTTTAATCAAAACTTTAAAACATTATCGTTTTTTCAAAACCACATAAAACTGTATTATAACATTGACTGAAAAAAAACAAAAAACAAAATGGAAACATTAAAATCAAGATGTATATCATTGCAATATACGAGTACCCTTCTAGTGTGTATATATATATATATATATATATATATATATAAACTCATCCAATTTATTAATCTCGTCACATTAATTCTCCCTTTAGTATATTCGATTCAATTTTGAACCTGATATTTCTTGACTTAAATTTTAATTTTGGTTGACGTTCTTCATGAAAACATCCTGATAATATTTGAGTTCCAAAGCGACACACTTCACGAGTCCATTCGCGATTTCTTATAATTCCATGTAAGTTGGGTGTTTGTCACGATGATATGCTCTTGAAGTTCAGCTCTAATTATAAATTGATCACAATAATATTTTCCGTCACATCAATACAAAAATATTGCTCTATAAAACAGCTTCACTGCTTATTAGTCATCAAAATATATATAATTTATTAAAATAAATCTGTATACTTACACCAACAAATATTATTTGACAAGCACAACCTAACTTTGTGTCGATACAAAGCCTTACACATGATATACCCATTTCATTTTATGATAAATCCTCGTATAACGATTGTAGCCTCTCACCAACAACTGATACTCACAATAGATGATAATCAAAGAGTCAATGCGGATTTGCTGTTTAGAAACTCAAAATAAAGGAGAATCAAAGGGCTATAATTCTTCAAACGTGTCGTTTTGCGAAGAAGGTTGTGGATGAACCATGGATGGCGCATGAGAAAACATGTAGATGATCGAGAAGTACTTAACTGGTAACCACAAGGGTGATGTCTGATTGGTTTGAACTTGACTCCAAAGGTCAAAAGTACCAGGAGATACCAGGTTCAAATCCAATGATGAATAAAAATTCCTTTGTGGCCACAGAGGTTCAAATGCGACGACTCCGGACTACCTGCAAAGCAGGTGGTTGTCATGGGATTAGTTGGCTCGCATAGCGGGTTGGATATCCAGGTTAATAAAAAAAAAGTACTTACCTGGTTTTCAAACATTTTATTAGATTATTTACTCTTTGAGTGTCTTCCTTTTAAAGGTACGAAATCATGATCGAGATAACAAACCATGTAATCGTGTGGGTTTTGTTTATCGAAATGGAATGTTATTTTCATTTATTATATATCGTAATTGATCGCAGCGTTACAGATAATATGCTTGTCGCCATCAACATATTTCTCGTGTCCGGGTTGGAGGACCAAATTGCACAATATCATAATAGAAGGGCAAAAATTGTCATCATAACAAAGTTTTGGATGGAAGTGAAAGAAAATTAAAAAGGGGGAGACGAAACTGTTTATTTCGCGCGCATTTACATACTCCACTCGTTTTTCTTCATCGTGCTTCCCATTTTCTTTAAACGCCTTCATCGATCATCGCCATTGCGCCATTTTCCCCCTAGCGAATTACAAACCCTAGCGTATATTGATCTTCAATTCGTATTGAAGCACTCAAAATTCAGCGAATATGGCGTCAGAAAACCCTAGTTCCACCCCAAAAACCCCATTGTACCCGAAAATCGATACACATCCGACCCCTTCAGCACCTCCACTGCCTTCATCGTCAGACCCTAATCAACCATCATCATCATCGCTTTACCCAAGCGTCGACATGAAAGAGCTGCCCGAGAATCTATTTCCAGACTCTCCACATAAACCAAATTCGCCATATTCTCCGTCCCCCCCACCTGATTCAGTTGAAGAAGTTATCCTTTCTGTTCCAGGCGCGATCCTACATTTGATCGATAAGAAAGACAGCGTGGAACTCGCATGTGGAGATTTCTCGGTGATGCAACTACGACAAGGTAACAATGTGGTTGCCATTCTCGCGCGTGTTGGTGATGAAATCCAATGGCCCTTGGCGAGAGACGAGGCTTGCGTTAAGTTAGATCATTCTCATTATTTTTTCTCGATGCGGGCTCCTAAGGAGGATGAAAAGGATGATGATATGTTGAATTATGGATTGACGTTTGCTTCGAAAGGGCAAGATAAGGTGTTGAAAGAATTGGACGAGTTGTTGGAGAAATGCAGTAGTTTTTCTGTGCAGAAAGTGGACGAGAAGAATGGTCCTTTGGATGCTACAATGGCGAACGAGATGGATCCGTCGGATTTGAAGTCGGAGGTGAAGAAGGAAGAGATGGAGCAGACTTGTAGTGCTTACTGGTCCACGTTGGCGCCAAATGTGGAGGATTATAGTGGGACGGCTGCAAAGTTAATTGCTGCGGGTTCAGGACAGCTTGTTAAGGGGATTCTGTGGTGTGGAGATGTTACCATGGACAGATTGAAGTGGGGCAATGAGGTTTTGAAGAAGAAGATGGAACCTGGTACCGAAAAAGAAGTTAGTCCTGAAACTTTGAAGAGAATAAAAAGGTTGTGAATTTTTTTTTCAAGTACTTTCAGTTTTAGTGCCTGAATCTTTATATGCTTAGCTTCTTGTGCTCTTATACATATGAGGTTGGCATCTTTTCGTAGGAAGTTTTTGGAAAATAAAATAGATTTCCATTTGTTTGCATCTTTGATTTGTTTCTGTGGTATATCTCATCAAAAAGAAAAAGAAAATTCACACTGTAATTTTCTATAGAAGCATCACCTGTCTTTGTTATAAAGTAGAGAGTTTTTACGGTGGGTGCTTCTATTCTTGCAGTATGTACTGTATTGCTGCTTGCTAGTATATGCTTATTTTATATGTATACAATGTTGTATATGGTATATATACTTTGGCAAACACATTGTTGCACATTATCTTTTGTGTTCAATGTCATAGACCACGTGATCTCAAGCTTCAGTTTTGATGATATTCAATGCATTACCATAAGGACAATTTCATTTATAGTATATTGAACTTCTATAATCTGGACTCAGTATCGACGTGTCATGTGGAAGATCTTTGCAACATAGCTTGGTACAAGCCAACTGTGATTCTTGCCAGGATTTTAAGCATGGCAATGTATTGTCCAAGAGTCTTCTGTGCATATTTTTTTTTCATTTGGATGATTTGGGTGATTCTAGCAGGGTTAAGAAGGTCTCACAGATGACAGAGAAAGTGGCAGGAGGAATTCTTTCTGGTGTTCTGAAGGTTACTGGGTACTTCACAAGTTCGGTTGTTAATTCTAAAGCTGGCAAGAAGTTCTTCAGTCTCATGCCTGGAGAAATGGCACTCGCTACTTTGGATGGATTTAGTAAGCTCTCTCTCTCTCTCTCTCTCTCTCTGTGAGATACAATGGACTTGGTGAATGGTGCCGGCTAATCTTATTTTGATACCGGATTGTTATGTGTTTGCTCATCAATTTAAATGCAATCAGCTCATCTAAGAGATATGCCGTTTCTATGGTATGACTTTTTATCATTTATCTGGGATGTTTTGCATGAATGTGGTCTGTGATTCACCTTTCAGCAAATTTACATGGGCCGTGCCAGTCTATAATTTGAAACCTTGAGTGACGGTCTATATTTTGTTCTTTATAAGGCTAATTGATCGACTATATATTGAATCAGGGTAGAGAGATTAGCCTGTATATTATAAACCTCTATAGTTTGATTTTCTTACATGACCATTCTCTCATATTCATGACATCTGTCAATTTTTTTGGGCTGTTGCCTTTGTTGAGTATGTTCTTGCTGATTCAGAATCCTCAAGAGAAAGAATATTCATCATAATGTAACATAAATCTTATTGTATGAAGTGGATATCAGTAATGGAAGAGGTGTAATTTTAAACCTGCACCTTGTTTATGAAATTGATTGGATTAACATATATATATATATATATATATAGGGTTGGGTTCACGTGAGACCAGCCTGTTTTCGTGAGACCCGTGAGACCACATTTTTACACGTAACCTTCACAGCAAAAACWCTGTGAAGGTTTAAAAAAAGTCGAACCTTCACAGCAAAAACACTGTGAAGGTTTTAAAAAGTCACCTTCACAGCATTTTGCTGTGAAGTTTCAAGTGTAAAATGTTGGTTTCACGGGTCTCACGAAAACAGGCTGGTCTCACATGATCCCAAGTATATATATATATATAAGCGAAGGATCGTGTGAGAAGGAGAGTTAAGATGAGAAGCATGAGAAGGGATCTGGACCCTTGATCACTTTTAATCTCAAACCCACCCATGAATTGCTCTTGATACGAGGATTGATCCAGTGCATCTCGGTGCATCTCATCTCGATGCATCTCATCCTAATGTGCATCCAAGGGTGGAGATGCCTTCTCTACGCTTCTCACCTTAACTCTCTTTCTCACCGGAACCAAACCCTATATATATATATATATATGAAGCAACATGGTGACATTATATTTTGGGTTAATTTACAAAAAGGGAAATGTCCATACTTGGTGGCCAATTTGACAGTAGTTCATTTAAATTATAACTGCAAAGTTTATTTGATGATACAACTAGATTCTATTAACCCTGAACTAGATCTATAAAGTTAAATCGGAAAATAGCAGTAAATAGAAAAGAGATTTTGCATAGAAAAATAAAACAGTGAAGTATAAGGTACTCCAACTGCCAGCAGCTCTAAAAACCCAACACAGATATCAATCAATATCTCCATACCTCTATCTATTCTTCACAACTTGTTCCCAAAATCAAAACTTTGACTGGCTTTGACTCAGTGTTCTAACGATTCTTGCTTAGGAATGCTTAAACACCCCCTAGGCAGTAAGCATCATATCATCACTTCAATTAGTTAAGCCCACTTAATTGGCCACCTAGGAGTTAAGCATCCTCTACCACTTGGATTAGCAACTGATCGTTTAATTTAAAGTTTCAAAAGTTCAGTCAGAGATGGATTAACTTTCTAAACTTGTGTTCATCGATTGACATCTCTCCACTTGCAGGGAATTTTCCGATCTCTGATCTTGGAGGAGTAATTGTACAAAACTGATGTCATATCACAATTTTTCTTCATATATGTTTAATAATCTTAAAGTATTTGTTTATTATAATTGAAAAATTAAATGAACTGCTTATGGTTCTCTTTAGGCATCAGCTTACTCCCGAGCAATCAAGTGCTAGAAGATCACGCACCCACTTAGAATGTTATTTAGAACACTGCTTTGATTTGAATCTTAGATATTTTTTGCTCACATGAAGACCCAATGATGTAGAAACAAGGGTTCAAAGATCTAAAATTAGGGTTCAAGAATCTAAAATCCATCCTACCCTTTGGTGATGCCTCCTTTCAATTGTCTTTTAAGTTTTCCTATTGACATAAGGTCTCAGTTTAATTAAAGAACATGCTAAAAATGTTAAAATGCAGATTAGATGTTTATGTTTAATTCACTTTTTCTCGAAAGTCATGATAAAATTTAAACGTAGATTGTTAGATGTTTATATTAATGCAGCACATGTGCTTTTTACCCGAGTGAAATCTTGGTCCTGTCCCTTGATGGATTTAAAGCCTTGCTGAGTTGAGTGTTTGGCTTTCATCTAATTTAATATACATGTTTATGTGCACAGGCAAGATCTGTGATGCTTTCGAAGTTTCAGGAAGGAATGTAATGTCAACCTCGTCAACTGTGACAACGGAACTCGTCTCCCACAAGTAAGTTGACAACTTAGGCCCACTCTCCTCTACCCCCCAACTTCCAAAAATAGACTTGATAATTGAACATAAATTTGAGACCAGTTGGTAGAAACATTTCTATCCAGTAAGCATAACCCATATTCTATCATGATTACTTGATCCATAGTTCATTATACGATGGAGGTAATTGTGGTGGGGCACGATGAAAGATCTGATTTGTTTAGGGATAAACATTTTCACTTATGAGAAGACACCTGAGTAGAAGGCTGAAAGGTAGATTAACTCAATGTGGTTCTAATATTTAGCCCTCTACAATTTGATTCCTATTGAAAAAGTTGTAAACTTTTCATTAACTTATAATTTTTTAATTATCAGAGTAAGAAATAGGCTAGATTTCTCTTCACAAGTCCTTGTACTTTATTTGGTTTTCATAATAAATAGATCAAAACAAACAAACCCAGTATATTCCACTCGAAAATATGGTCTGAGAGGGGCATGATGTGCGCAAACTTGTCCTCTACTCCAAAAGATAGAGCGTCTGTTTCTATGAAGATCCTGACTTGTGAATAAGTGTCAGCGAAAAGGTAAGAAGAACAAAGACTATTTATCATAAAAGATATAGGGGCTGTTTGGTTGGTTTTCCATCAAGTCTGTATGGATAAAGTTGTCTGTGTGGATTTATCTATCTGTATGGATCGGAAAGGTTTTTGTTTGGGAGGACTTATTCATAGATGGAATGAGCGGTTTTTTTAATTGAGGGGTAGGTTTGGAAAAACTTGGCTTTTTGCATAAAAGTCCCCTTTAAAAGCTTACTAAACAAACCACTTTTTATATCATTAAGCCACTACCAAACAGTCATGTATAGCTGACCGAATAAGCTTGTGAATCCTATTAAGCCCGTTAAGCTGCTAACAAGTAACAAACAGGCCCATAGTAACCAAATTTATAACCATGCTTTCCAGTTTTCCTTACTGCTTATAATTGATATTTATATAAGAGAGGGGAGGATTCAATTTGTGTGTGTAGATATGGAAAAGAGACGGCAAAGGCAACAAATGAAGGGCTGGATGCTGCAGGTCATGCAATAGGAGCTGCATGGACAGTTTTCAAACTTAGACAGGCAATGAATCCAAAAAGTGTCGTAAAACCTACTGCCCTCTCAACCGTTGCTATCAAAAATGCAACCGAAGAGATGAAGAATAAAGCCCTTAAGGATGTCAAAGCTAAAAATTCGCCCAAAAGTTCACCCAAAAAATCCAAATGATTGCTACGAGAATGGATTCATGCTACATTTCGATAAAGGCGAATTTTTTCGTTGCAGTAAAGACAGATTTCACAACATCTCTCAGGAGCAGGTGTGTTCAACTGTATGTACATTTCTAACTTCCAGCTGAAAGGTTCGTCTTCCCTCCTTTTTCTTTTTACCTGTTACATATTTATTCATTGTACATCGACCGAAGCAGTAGATAGATGGGGTCATGGGTACCGAAATACGTTCAGATAATTTAATAAATATAAATATTACTATAAGAATCTAGTGTTGCCAGTATTTTGTGTCATACAAGGCTTTTAGGATAGCTTCCTTACTTACAGTTTGCGTAATATATATAATCTAGTCGAAGCCAAGACCCTTGTGTATTTGTTAATCAAGATATATATATATATACATATATATATGTATATATATATATGTATGTATCTAGTCGATGTGGGCCTCTAACAGAAGCAATTGTAGAAATTCAAACTCAGGTTTTCAAAATGGAAAACTTTGCAGCATCTGGCATGGTTAAACTGCGTATGTAATGTATGCAGATATGTTTTTGTAAGGCATGTGTTTGTTTGCAATAATTTTATATGGTTTTTTCTTCAAATACATCTGTAATCCGTAGGTAACATTTATGATTATTGTAAGATCCGGGCAGTCTGGTCCTGAGTTCGATCCCAATATATATTGTAAAAAGTCTTTACATTACGTTTAAAATCATGCCACTTAAGGAAAATCAGATTTTGAAAATATGTTATTAATTTCATTGGTCGGTAAATTCGGGATAGAACGGCCAAAACATGGTATCGCGATTGTTTTTCCTTTAATCATAATAAAATATCAAAGTTGTCTTGCAAGTCTTTTTCTTGATTCGTATTTATTAAAGCGTAATATTACCAAAGAAGTAACAGGTTAAATTTACCATTTGTGAGTTTAAGAAGTTAAATTGCATACATAAATATATTAAAGCAGTTCACAAAACCTATATTTATTATTTGTAATATATATTAAAAACAATGAACATGTTCATTTGAGTCGTGACTTTAACAATTATTGTCTTGTTTAGATTGAGAATGAAAATATCGAGAAACAAAATGAATTTTCATTTCTTCTAATTTGACACAAAATCATAAAACCCGCACTAAAAATGATGAGTCAATTGAACGTTAAAAAAACCGAGCTCCAATCACATGTTAAAAACACTAAAAAATCTTTAATATTATGATAATAATAAAATAATTTATTTATTTATTATTTTACTTTTTTATTAAAACATAATAATTATAATTATAATATATAATTCATTTTTTAGTAATAATTTCTAAATGAATATATGTTATTATTTTGACACAAAACTATAGTTAACATTATGTTTTTTAAGTGTTGCTGATGAAATCTTATTGTGTTGACGTTTTATAATCAGACAAATGTTATATCTATATATGTTTAAGTTTCTTCGACCAAAATTATAACGGAGGTATTCACATTTTCGTTATTACTAATTTTCATTTTCATTTTTAATAAAAAAATTTGAATTATTTAAATATAATCTACAATTTTAAAACATAAAATAACTAAATTATAAAATTAATACAAATATTACTTATTATGTTAAACTATTATAATACACAGAGTCAATTACAATGTAGTTTGCTTAAATTTTAGATTTGGTTTTTAAAACAAACTATTTATACCGGTGGTTTTTAACTTTCACTCATGGTCCCTATATTTAACGATGTTGTAAACAACTTTTATGAAGGACTAATTGGTATTTGAATAAATTATAGGGATCAAAAGTGTAATCTGCTCAAAAGTTAAACGTGATACACAATTTTTTTTTAATTTTTTATTAAAAAATATTTTATAAATAAAATTACAAATCAAATGTTTTAAAATAAAGTACATATTAAATAAAAATCTTTATATTTATTTAAAAACTTTTAAATTCAAAAAAAATCAACGTTAAAAAATCTAAAGTTTTAAAAAAATTAAATCAAGATAAAGTCAATTAGGTTTGGAATTGAAATATTCGAGTAAAATATTGAAAAAATTATAAATTTAGCTTAAAAAAATACTTATTATTCAAACAATTAAGAAAAATCATTACTATAACAAATTAGGTTTATATAACACCAAAGAAATTAAGCGTTCTAAAAGCTCATCTTTTTACAGTATGCTTATATTTATAATAAAAAATTTTAAATAGTGTCATATAAAATTGTTCATGTGATGCTTTGTATGCGTTTGATACACTAGACAAGGACATGGATCCCTGTCCCATGTTTGACATGAATTATATGTGGAACAGACAGAAACATGGTGGAACAAACTTATATTTTACCAATATCTATACTATATTATAAAGCATTTGGCTAAATCTCTTAAACTCTTAAACTCTTAAAACTCTTAAATCTGTTCATCTCTATCCGAATTCATCCCATAACTGAATTCGTGTAACTAACTGCAGATAAACACAATCAAATACAAGATAAACATCTCATTTTAAATATAAAAAATCTAAAATATAATTAAGATAATCAT